AGGTTACTGACTTCAGAGTAGGTTCTTATAACTACTGGGCCATACTGCTTGTCAATAGAAAGCTAGATGAGGTTGTGGGATTAGCTCAGAGATTTACGAAAGAGGAGACCTGAGCACGTTTGAAGGCAGAATGGCTGGAATGGTCCTGGATACAGGATAGGAAGAGGATGTTTAAGAGCTATGAGTCCCCTAAGACCACTTGGAATTGGAATAGATTGTGGGGCTCTGGTAAAGGTGAGCTTTAGCAGAGGTAGAACAATCCTTATCCTTGTCTTCTGAGATTGACGTGGAATCTAAGTCTAGAGAACTGCTGTGAAGAGAAGACACAGAAGTGAAAGTAGCTTGTACCTGCTGACCTTGAGCCTTTGGACGGTGTGCTGGAGCTGGCTCCTGCCAGTTCAAGAGAGCCATTGTTAAACACTGAAGAATTTTGTAAGTAGATTGGTAGCTTGAAATCAGCCAAGGTATTTATAACTCAGAAAGTGGCAAATGCTGTAAATCAGGGCTTCTTCACCACCACTCAAAACTGGTTTGCCAGAGCATCTTAAACTCTCTTGCCTTCTGCACTTCACTAACATTCAGAAGCCTGCTGAAGTGCCACTTGAATTCAAACCTCGAGTGAGTGCCCACTGTGGGAAAGGCACTGTGCCAGCTACCAGGGAAACAAATACCAGCTCCTCAAGTCAATAATACTGTAGTGGAGAGAGAAGAGCATACAGGAGTAAATCCTCGACTAGCTGTGAAATCTTGTGCCAGCCACTTAACCTTGGGTTACTCATCTCTGAGAGGAGATGATAATACATATCCCAAAGGGCTATTGACATGATTAATGAGAATATGTAAAGATTCTGCCACAGAGGTGTACAATAGGTGGCAATTCTAAGGGTGGAAGACATGTAAATAGATGTCTTTAATGTGGCTTGATATAAGAAATAAGGAGTGACTGATTCTGTGTTTGGTCAGGAAAGTCTTCACAGAGATCAGGCAGGATTCCAAAGTTGTTTTGTTTTTTTTTTCCTTTTATTTTATCATATTATGGAGGCACAAATATTATTAGGGTTACATATATTGCCCCTGCCATTCCTCCCCCCACTCCCCAAGGATTTCATAGTTTTTATGATGGATGTTTCATGAATGAAGTCTTCCTTTGTTCTTGTCAAAAAGTTGCTGCTTTTTTTTTGTCCCTACAGCATGTTGCTTTTACATCTTCTTAGCCTGTACCTCACTATAGGTTATTTAATTATAAGATAAACAATGGATTTGGAGAGAGGCACACCTGGATTTATATCCCAATTCCAACACTTACCTGCTTTGTGACTTTTGGCATGATTCTTCTTGGAATTCAGTTTCTAATTTCATAATATGGAATGATGATCAGATGATTTTGAGTATTACCTGAGAATATATGGGAAAGAGTCAGACACCCACCTGCCTTGTGAATCTCAATATGAATCCAACCTGTCTTTTAGTCTCATCTCCCTTTATGCTTCTGCATCTCCGTGCAAGACACACTGTTCCTTTCCTGCAGCTGTTGTCTTTGTACATATTGCTCCCTCTGACTAGAAAAGTTCTGCTCAAGAGGTAGAACAGCATTGTGGTAAGAATCAATGGCTGGGTGTCAATCTAAACTTTGCCATTTGTTAATTAGGTGACCATGGCAAGATAATTATCCTCTTTATATTTCTATATATTATCATATATCATAATATGATAAAGAGGATAAATTATCCTCTTTATATCTCAATTTTTTTTTTTTTTGAGATAGAGTCTCACTCTGTTGCCCAGGCTAGAGTGCCGTGCTGTGGTGTCAGCCCAGCTCACAGCAACCTCCAACTCCTGGGCTCAAGCGATCATCCTGCCTCAGCCTCCCAAGTAGCTGGGACTACAGGCATGTGCCACCATGCCCGGCTAATTTTTTATATATATTTTTAGTTGGCCAATTAATTTGTTTCTATTTTTAGTAGAGATGGGGTTTCGCTCTTGCTCAGTCTGGTTTCGAACTCCTGACCTTGAACGAACCCGCTTCGGCCTCCCAGAGTGCTGGGATTACAGGCGTGAGCCACTGTGCCCGGCCTATCTCAATATTTTTAATTCGTAAAATGGGGGAAAATGGTATCTCCCTCATTAAATTAATGAGGATTAAATTAATCATGTAAAGACCTAGATTTATGCCTGACACATTAGAAGCACTGAAAAATTCCTAGGCATTACTCCCACTCCCATTACTACTACCTTCATTATTCCTCAAGATATGGTTCAAATATCACTTGCTTTGTGAACCCTTCCCCAGTTTACCCATACCATAATTTGCTTATCCTCTGTATACCCATTAAAATATATGGACTACCACATTTTGAGCACCTACTATGTTCTAGGCACTCTTCTAAGCACTATATTACAGATATCATTTTATTCAGACCACCCAATATGTTCTCATTTATCATCCCAGCTTCTCTCTGGCATAGATCAAATTCTTAAAGGTCAAATTTACCTTTATAGGAGAACTTAGGACCCCCTGACATTTACCATAGAAAAAATTTTGTTTCTCTCCTCTGTGGAAAAATATAGAATCTACAAATTAGTAATATCCTCATTTTACAGATTTAATCTCTTGACAAATAGTTATTGAGCAATTATTATGTGTGTGTACTATATTAAGAGCTGGGGAACATGCTCATGAGCATAAATAATCCTGGTCCCTGCTCATATGTGGCTATTTACACTTGAATTGATTAAACTTAAATAAGAACTTCAAATGCATACTTGCACTAGCCATCTTTTAAGTGCTCAATAGTCACATGTGGTTAGTGGCTATTGAGTTGAACAGTGCAGATTTAGAATATTTCCCTCATCACAATTCTTTTGGACTATATGGGGAGGCTGACATTGATCAAATAATCATAAATAAAAGTATGATCACAATTGTGACAAGTACTAGGCAGAAAGCATACATGGTAACGTGGAGCATTTCTAGGGGGATGTGACTTCTCTGCTGTCTTCTTCAAGGAAGACATGTTTGAACTAGGTTTGCTGAATGTTTGGGAGTTAGCAAAGTCCTGTGGTGGGAGGAAGCACAGTAATAAAAAGGATTGAAAGAAAGCTAATAACTGCAGCATAGGGTGAGATGAAGAGGTAGATGGACCACACAGGGCCTTATAGAAAGAAGATGAAGAAGCTGAGAGGCTGAGTAACTTGACTTTCTAGTTTGTGAACTAGAACCTGGATTTGACTTCAAAGTCTGTGCTGCATAATAAATGTATGTTCAAAGGTCTTTGGTTCTGCCATGATCTCTTGCTCCCTTCCTCTTTGGAAATTGCCAAATTTCCCTCTACTGGATTATTCCCTCAGCATAAAAATATGCTGTAATAATTTTCTTATTAGACAAATAAAATAAAACAAAAACATAAAATCTTCCTTGATCTTACATTTCTCTTTAGTTCCTTTCCCATTTTTCTGTTTTTATATCAAAATTCCATGAAAGAGTTGGTTGTACTTACTACCTCCATTTCCTTATTTTCTTTTTCTTGTTGAACTTCGTGTAATTAGGATTTCTTCTCTTCCATCATTTTCATAAACGAACTCTATAACTCAGCCCTTATCTTAAAGGATTTCTTGGCAACATTTGATATACTTGATCTTCCTTTTTGGAGCACTTCATCATTAGCTTCTGAGACACCACACTCTCTTGGTTTGCTTTCTACCTCCCTCCAGCTCATTCTCTGGTTCCTTTATTGGATCCTTCTCCTCCTTTGCAATCTGTGTGCCAGGTCTCTGTCCGGGACCATCTTCATTTCTCTCTATATATTATCTCCCTGGGTAAGTTCATCTAGTCCCATGGTATGATGGTTAATTTTATGTGTCAATCTGGCTACATTGTGGTGCCCAGGATCAGACAACAGTTTAGATGTGGCTGTGAAGGTATTTTTTAGATGTGGTTAAAAATGAAATCAGTAGACTTTAAATAAAGCAGATTATCTTCCATATATGGATGGGCTTTGTCCAGTTAGTTGAAGGCCTTGAGAGAAAAGACTGAGGTCGCCTGAAGAGGAAGTAATTCTGCCTGCAGACTGCCTTTAGTTGTAAGACTGCAACAACTTCTGCTTGAATTTACAACCTGCTGGCCAGCCCTGTTGTTTTCAGACTTGTCAGCCCCTACAGTTATTTAAGTCAATTCTTCAAAAAGGTCTCTCTCTCTCTCTCTCTCTCTACACACACACACACACACACACACACACACACACACACATACCTCTATTGGTTCTACTTTTCTGGAGAACTCTGAACACATGGCATTAAATATATTATATATTTGACTCTCAAATTTTTATTTCCAGACCTGATTTCTCCTCTGAACTCCAGATTTGTATATCCAACTGCCTATTCAATATCTCCATTTGGATAACTAGTAGATCTCTCAAACCGTACTATGGATTTGTCTCACACTATTGCTTTCCACCCCTCCCATCTTTCCTCCTTCTCCCAGAGTGTTCCCCCTTTCATTAAAAAGTAACACCATTTACCAGGTTGCTAAGGCCAGAAATCTAGAGTCGTTGATTCTTCCCTTTCTTTTGTATCTGTCATGCAATTCATCTGCAAAACTTATTAGCTTTACCTTCAAATGTATCTTCTTGCCTCACTAATCAGTCTTTGTCATCTTTAGCATGGACCACCACAGTAACCTAACTGGTCTGTATGCCTCCACTCTTAAGTCTGCACCTTCCTTAGCCTGTTCTGTACTCAGTAGAGCAATTCTTTTACTGTACAAACCAGATCATTTTCCTTTCCTCTCTCCATACCCTGGCTGAAATCCAAAGTCCTGACTATGATCTTTGGGATCTGAACCTTGGCTTATCCTCTGACCTTGCTTACTTATGACTTTCTTCCTTACTTATTGAGCTTTAGACACACTGGTTACCTTACAGATCCTTGGATAAGTCAAGCAGACTCCCAGCCTATGGGTTTAGTATGTTGAAGTCAAAATGAAAATGTAGATATGAATCTCTAAATTAAAATGTTTTATTTTGAGGAAAAGAATTACAGTTCAGGGCATACTTGCAGACTGGGCGGTTTCTGGTATATCTGAAGAACAAAGAGAAAGAGGTTTTATAAAAAGGAGAAATGTATATATTGTTTTTTAGAAAGTTCACTAGTAAGGGTTTGGAGAGCTGGAAAGCTCTGACTGGTAGGCGATAGCAGTGGGCAAAATTAGTCTTAGAGTTGCAGCAAGTTATCTCAGCAGCTGTAAATAACTGGTCTTAGGTTACAACAGGCAGTTCAGCAGTCAGGCTTGCAGGTAATTACATTCTTGGAGCAATGTTCTGTACCCTGAATGTTCCATCCTCCTAGCCCTTCCTCTTCTCGGATTTAGTTGGGTATGACAAGAATGACTCGATTTGTGTGATCAACTTTCACAAGTACTTTTTGTTTCCTCTGCTTAGAAAAATTCTCCTCCCCCCATCCCCCCACAGTACTCTCATGACTGGTTCCCTCATTACACTCTGGTCTCTGTTTGGGTGTTACATTCTTAGATCTTTCCTGACCTCCCTATCCTACTTTATTCTTCTTCAGGGTACAAAGGACTCTTTCAAAAAAGGTTTTTTGGTTTTGTTTTCTGTGAAGGGGAGCAATGAAATGGAGTGGTAACTATGAGGGTTGAAGTACATGGGATTACAGGAAGCTTTTTTTTTAAATGGGAAAACTGTATTGTGTTTGTTTGATGATAAAAATGATCAGGGAGAGAATAAGAAATTGGTGATGCTAATTTCAGAAGTGAAGTTCTTGAAGGTTTAGAAGGCAAAAAAAGATGAGAATCCATATACAAGTAGATAGAAGTTGGCCTTTATTATAACAGGAATGTAGGCAAAGAATATAGCAACTTGGTAGTTGAGAGGGAGACTTAAGGGAGTTCTGTCTACTTCTATTTTCTTAGAGTAGAAAGCAGGTCATGAGATAATGGCAAGGTGTAAAGGTATTAGAAGTTTAAGGAAAGAGGAATAGGTATGAAACAGTTATTTTGGGAATTGGGAAACCAAATATATGAAGGATGCAAAGGATTGCTGAGCTGTGTTGAGGACATATTTGAGGTTTGTGGTCTTGACTTTAAAGTGAAATCACTTTTAATTTCTGTTTTCTCCAATAATGCTTTGCTGAAGTGAGGTACAGAATGTGGGAACAGCTAGGTTTAACAAGAGTAGGCCTTGCCATGTCAGTACAATTGAGAAGTTTGTACTTCATCATGAGGGCCCTAGAGAGCTACTGAAGGTTTGAGCAGAGAAGATTTGGGTGTCAGAAAGATTACTGTAGTTCAGTGTTGTGTGTGTATGTATCAGAGAGAGGCTTATTATAGGTAGAGCAGTATTTTAATACAATAGGACCCTTGATCAAATACTTACATAGCTCTATTATAGCTTAGATAACAGCTCAAGAACACAGAGGATCTTTTTCTAGTATTTTCTGAAGACCTGTATATCAGAAGACATGTATCTGTGAAGACAAGATAAATTAAACAAGGGTTTGCCTTTCCAAAGCTCTTGTAGATATAGAAGATTTGTAATTATCATTAGGTATCTGGGAATAAGAAGAGGGAAGGAGCCATTGATACTGGGTGGGAATCAGGGAAGCCTTCCTAGAAAAGGTGACTTTTTTTTTTTTTTTGAGGAGAAGGAAAGAGTTTATTAATTTACTGGCAAATGAGAAGGTTGGTAGACTTATGTCTCAAAGTACCAATGTCCTGATTCTGAGCAGAAGTACAGAGTTTTTAAAGGTTCTGATTAATCCCATAATCCTGTTTTTTGTCTAAGACAATCTTGTGACCTCCACCTGGTCAGTTCTCTTGGGCTATCTCCTATGGCACAAAGAACAAAGGATACTCTCCTCCCCCTCCCAACCACTGGTCTGAGGCAGGGATGTATATTTTAGTTCTCAAAAAAGGGTGAAGGAATTTTGAAGAGACAGAAAACATTTGTACTGTTTTCTAGGCCATTCTCTCTGTTACATATTCCCCACTGTCAATTTTACCCTTCTATATCTATGGGAGGAGGGGTGACATAGTCATCGAGCTATTTCCTGCGTAATTGGGGTGATGTTTTAGATGGAAGGTACAGATTATCGGGTGAAAAGGGGCATGAGCAATAATTATGACCATGATGATTGACAGGGTGAAATGGACTGTTGCCTTGCACACAATGTCTGATACAGGGCTGGGAAAAGAAATGTGGGCCCTCTGAGAGCAGAGCTATTAGTTGTACCCTGTAGGTGATCTGAGAGATCAGCTTCAGTAAATTCAGAAATCATGTTCAGAAATCCTTGCACCAAGCAAATTTTAGGATAACACACCCAGCAGCAAGACAGATCAACATTATAGGTGATAGCCCTGGGAAATCCTCAATAAGGAGTCGTCCCTCTATCCTATAGACAAAAATAACTAAAAAAGATTAGCAAAAATATCAACATGTTCATTTTTTTCCCTTTTTCTCAAACAGACACTTTAGATCATCTAAGGCTGGCCCCTCCACTGGGGGCTACACCTCTTTACTTTGGTATTATGGACGCAAGGTTTTACTTCTGACAATTTTAACGAGGTGTGAGTTGTTAGAGGCACTTCATAGGGTTTCTTCCATTTCTCTGCTTCTAATTGGGGCAGGGACCTGAAAGATGCAAACTCATGTATAGTAGTTAGTACCTGACCCACTCATTTGACATACTGTTTTATTTTCCTTTACTTATGGTTATATTACCATACGTGTCTTGGGGTATTAGGAAGGGTCTCTCATAAACTATTTCTTAGGGGTTTAACTTAAGCCTCCTTCCTAAAGGGCTACCGCATTCCAGAGGAGGGCAAACAGCAATACTTTGTCCCACGTTAGGTGGGTTCAGTGTAATTTCTATTCTAGATATAGGGCTTTGTTTACTTGCTGGGTTACCTCTGCTACACAGGAGGGTCCATTATCACTGTGTATGGAGGAGAGGAGCCTATGAACATTCCGATGACCTATAGGATCATTGACTCCACTGTGTCCAGGTTTTTGGAGAAATGGTTTACCAGATTCCTACTGGAGGTCTGCTTGAAGAAGTTTATGAGTGACCACAGGATGCTGTGCAGTAGATGCAGGTGTAGATGGCAGAAAGGAAAGATTCCCCCTGGGGGCCCTGCCATGGAATAGCCAAACATGGTGATACCTTGAGCTGTCAAGTTGTCTCTGTAGCTATCTGTCCATGGCCTCCATCACTAGCATGTTATTCTCCATTTGCTTGGCCTCTTTCCCTGGAATGTTGATGCCCTTCATCCTGTTGTCCTCTGAGGCCTGTTCTTGTACTTGTGTAGGAACTCAGCAAAGGCCCTGTCAGCTCCTGGTAGGCGCCTATCTTGGAGTGAGTTCCAGAACCTCAGACATTTATCTGTTTCCTCTGGGTAGGACAAGCCTCTATCCAGCCTGAAAAGGTATCTACCAATACAAGCCTAGGCATCTGAGTGAAACTACCAATCATCGAAAAGGTGGACCTCCACATGTTGGGCTCCCTGTGTAGTGGATCTCCTTTCTGTCCTTGGACCACTTTAAGCACATAGTTAGTTGCAAGTGGGATCCTCTCAAATGAGGTCCCACCAAATCCATCAAGGCATCACACTCCCAATGTGTGTATTCATGTAGGTACCTCATAAGAGGCCAAACCAAAGCTTTCTCCATTTACTTGTGCCACCTCAAATGTCAGAGCCCCAGTCTTCAGTTTTTAAGGGGGTCTAAATCTATTAAGTCCCCGAGGAACAGATCACCTCCAGTGGCTTCCTTAGCAGCTCTGCCAGTGGCCTGATTTCTTTTTGTCATGCTGGCCACCTGTTTGGGCTCAGCCACAGCCTGTGTTAGGGCCATTATTTTGGTGGTACATTTAATATACTTATTTCCTGCTGTCAGGAGACCCCTTTCCTTCCAAATGGCACCATGAGCGCATGCAATCATAAAAACATATTTAGTTATCCTTTTCCCTCTGGATAACTAAAGAGTACTGGTTAAAGCAATCAGCTCAGCTTTTTGGGCTAAAGTCCCAGGTGACAGTGCCATGGTCATGACTTGCAGTATTGCTTAATGGCTCTGACAAATATGTCACTGGCCATAGGATGTCGCTCAGTATCTATACCAAGGCTCCAAGGCTTATTCCTTGTTTTTTTGCATCATTTAAATTCTTACTGTGAGTCAGGCAACCCCAAAGTGGGACAGTCATAAGGCTCTGCTTTCTTTTTTCAAAGGTGTTTTGACAGCCTGTGGCTGCGATCAGGGGCTTCACATCTGTCTCTTTAAGGGCTCTGTACAAGAGCTTTGCGATCTGTTTCCAGATGTGATGGAATCCTGCCATTCTTGGGGACCTTAGATAAGTAACTTGTTGTTTGCAAATCTGTCCAGTTGCAGGTTTCACAAGTCCCCTGCTAAGCTCCCATCACATAGGGCAGGAAAGCCCTTTTAAAGCTCCTAACACAATCCAGCAGCTTTACAAGGCCATCCCAATCTCAGGATCCTGTCACCCAAATGTAATTGGGTATCATTCATAGTCATTTGTACAGTGACTGTACATTAGTGGCACATCAATCCTCACATATCCATACTTATTGGTATGGAGAACTTAAATTTTCTCAGTATGTCTCAGAGTCCCAAGAAGGTGACATTTCAGATGACCTTGGATTGGCTTTCAGAGAAGGAAGATAATTTAATCAGGGAGAATAACAGGATCCCAGTCAAGAGATGTATGATTAGAACAAATGCTGCATGGTGAGAAATGGTGGAAGATGCAGCTCTTCTTCCATTGACCAGCAGCTAAATAGAACTAAGGAGTTCTCTCTATATATTTGGTGACAAGGGTAAGACATCTGTGCCCTTTGCAGCAGCAAAAAGGGTTTGAAAGAAAAGATGTTTTTAAAATGGTGATTTTTTTTTAACTTAAAAAATATGTCATGGAGCTACTCTAGGGATTTGAGCTATAATTTTCTCACTTAAAAACAGTGTGAAGTTAAAATGCCCTACCTAGCCTTTCCTGGAATGCCATTAGAAAATACTAACTATAGTCACTCTGACCTGTGTATACACGATGCTTTCCATGGCAAGGCTCCTGAAATTGATCCTTATCACTTGCTGTCAGCACATTACTTCAAGTTAAATGATTTAAAAATCCCTTTCTATCTTAAGTCATGCTTTTGAAATAAGATATATTTTCTATATATTTTTAAGAATGAGGAGTTCATGACCCTGGTTCATGGGTGGTTATTGTGTAGCTTAAATGAGATAAGGCATATAAAATTGTTAATACAGAGCTTGGTTTGGGATCGCTGTATTAATAATTTTATATGCCTTAGTCCCAGCTCCCCCCCCCTTTCATTCTTTGCTCCTTAAATTACATTGTTCCTTGAACACACATGTTAGGAGACAGACTCATACTATGTTCTACGGACCCCAGAATCAGGTGAGGCACTCACATAAATAATCACCATACAGGGTAAGTGCCAGTTTAGTGTGTGCAGTGTGTGTGCATTTAGAAGGTGAGAAGGCTAAACCAAGCCTAAGTTTCATCCTGGAAGGGGCTGGAAGGAGCAGGCGGTGATTGCCAGCTTTTTCAGAAGAGGTGTGGCTTCTCTTAGCCCTTAGGAACCAGCAACCTTTTCACCTGAATGTGCTTCAGTCAGGCAGCATCCAAAGTGGGAAAGACATTTATTTATTTATTTATTCAGCAAATATTCATAGCCACCTACTAGTGCATGGTGCTGAGTAAGAACACGAGGAAGAGCAGGGAAGCATGAGAGAGCATGGCTCACCTTGGCAGCTGCAGGTGGCTTGGCGTGGTGGAGTTAAATACACTCTCAGTTTTTCTCAAAACAAACAAGACAGACTAAAGCCTGAGTAGGATAAGGGGGAAGTACTCTAGGGAGAAGTTGTGAGTTGCTGAGAATTTGTCACTTCTTTTCAAGATTAGTCAGGATGAACTAGATGTTTCTTTAGAAAAGCCTAGTAACTTCCTTTAGGGAATTGCCAAACTGACTAATGCATTACCTTAGGGCAGTTGGTCCCAAGCTTTGCTGCCAACTAGAATCACCTTTGGAGTTTTTGAAAAGACAGATGCCCAGGTCACACCTCACATCAGTGACATCAGAATGTCTGAGTGTGGGAGCCAGGCATCAGTAGTCTAAAGATCCTCACGTGATTACAATGGGCAGCAGAGTTCTTGAATTACTGCCTTCAGGCATCGTCCAGTTTCTTCAGTTTAAAACACACTTTTTCTTGTTCTGGTTCCAAACTTTCCTTAAATTGTTCTTGTCCTGTTGTTGGGTTGCGGGCGGCTTTGAGCAGGCAGAGGATGTGGTGTTACCCAATTAGGAGCTCTCACTTTGCTAAACCGATCGGCATAGGTTGCCAGGGCTGCACGCGGAGTGGATTTTTGCTTTGTCATTCTGACTCTGGCAGTTTGCCCGCCCCCTTAGAGCAGGGCGTGGCTTCTCGTAGCCATTAGGAAGCAGAAACCCCGTCGCCTCGGTTTTCTTCTGTCCGGCATTTGCAGCGGAGCAGAACGTGGAGGGACCCCTGTAGATCCTGATGAAGGCTTCATCATTCTCACATTCATGTAAGCTCTGCGTCAGGTGAAAACAGCTGCGAGCCTTATGCTGGGAGCACGCCGGGGACGGTTTGCTGGTGGGGGACGAGAGCATTGCGCCTGGGAGGAATCCTGGGGAAGGGGTGATGTTTTAAGGCGTGTCTGAGTAGGGAGACTTTTCTAAAACGAGTGAGCTTCTTGGCAGCATAGCTTTTCCCCGGGTCACATAAAGCTTCAGCATGTGGTAGGCGAGGCCGGCCCCCTGTCGGCTGCTGGTTTCCTTCCTCTTGCTCTTTATGGAGACATTTTGCCGAGTGTCTGAGAAAATAGGTTTTGTATCACTTCTTAGAGCACGAGTCTTGAAATGTAAATGACAACGTGCTGAATAGATTGACAGATCCTTGACAGTATTGGAGAGTATATAAGAATGCCTTTCTAGGAATTTTCACACCATTTGATGGTGAGAAATCCTGAGAGGTTGGCAAAGCATATGTAATTTCCATGTTTTACAAGTGGGGAAAGCAAGGCTTGGTAAGATAAAGTGGCTTGCCCAGTGTGACACAGGCTGTTAAATGGGGCAGCTAAAGCCAGAACCCAGTCTCACCTCACTATATCAGGCAGTAGAGGGTGGTTCAGAGCATAGAACACACTGTCTGCGTTTGAGTCCTGCCTCTGCTGTTGATTAGCAGCTTGACCTTGGGCAAGTTACTTAGAGTTTCTGTGCCTGTTTCCCTGTCTGAAGTGGACCTGGTAATATTTATAAATGAAGATTAATTATAAATATATACAAAAGTATAGAAATGTTAGCTGCTATTATCATTACTATTAAACAACTATACTTTTGAGTGTTGGTGTGATTTTTGTCTCATGAATGGTCCTGATGTCAGTGTGGAGGCTGTTTTTCATTGTGTCACTGACTCATTCTCTACTGAGTTAACCCCTTTGTGAAACTGGACCATTAGTTCCCTGTCTTATCTAGAGTGTTCCGTATTGCTTCAGGATTCGTTTTTAAAAGCACCCTAAGTGGCAGAGTGTTCTTAATTTTGCTCCGTGGTTTCAAATTTAAAGGAAACATTGGAAGTTGAATTTTGGCATTTTGTATAGATGCAGAATTCAAAGCAAGATCAAATTGGGAGGTGTTTTGTGAAAGCTGAGATACCTGTGTCTTAAGCTTTTTTTATTTTAAAGCTTTCTGAATTCTGTGTTTACTGGGAAAGTAGGACGTTTAATATTAGCGGAGTCTTGCAGTGATTTAACTGACCGGAACTCTGACGTTCTTAGTTAGCCTTGAGGCCCTGTTTTCTGCTAGTGTGCAGGTTTGCCGGGGCTAGAGTCCAAGCCAAGCCTGACTGTGGGTTTTAGTCATTGTCAGAAATGGAGCAAGTCATGCTAACTTGCAAAGGAGTCACCCGCGGGCAGAGTCCGTGGCTGCTGGGCTGGGACGGAAGCCCCGCCCCGCGCAGTTCCCGCCGGGCCGTCTGGGAGGAAGACCTTACGCGCTCCACTCTGCTTTTGTGCCGCAGAAGACCGCCAGGGCCTAGAAGCGGCGCTCTCGGAATTGACCGCGGAGACCGACGTGCCGGTTGTGTTTGTGAAACAGAGAAAGATAGGCGGCCATGGCTCAATCTTGAAGGTAAGATAAGTAACGTGTCTTTTAAACTGGGAGTGTGAGCTCACCAAGGCCGGCGTGCTGGCAGCCCTTCCTTTTAAAGCCGGCGTGGATGTCAGTGAGCCCCCAAATGGAGCACAGCGTTAGAAAATGACCAGAAACGCTCATGGTCTAGCTCACATGCTAATCAGAGTTGGTCAGATGATGGGCAAAAGTCACAGTTGGGAAGCTTGAAAGGAAATTTTTAACTATTTTCATCTTTTAAAAATTGTTCTTTTCCTTCTTATATTACCTTACTCTTTCACTCCCAGAAAGGTAAATGAAAAATTTTAGTAGCAATGTAATTGCTAAATGTTAATTGTTTAGGGAAGTACTAAGAAAAGGGATCAGGAAATGCTTATCTTCACCAAGTGGGCCCTGTCTTCTTCCTCTAATTTTCTGAGGGATGCGGGACCCCAAAACCCTAGGCTCTCGGGAGAGCAACCAAGGGAGCTTCTTTCACATGTCTCTTTTTCTAGCCCAGAGTTAACAGTTGGGTGGAGGGGAAAAAAGAAAAGAAATCTTCCCTTTGGCTGGTGGCAGGTAAGGTGGAAATCCTTTCTTGGGACTGCACCTGCAGTATTGTAAAAATGCTGGGAGATTAGGTGCATGTTTAATGGGCTAGGACAACCTGGATGATGCTCTACATCATGTGTAGTTGATCACCACCTTCCATAATCCCTTCACTTTGATCCATCTGAGTTTTGCAGATTATATATTTGTCCTTATCCACTTATATCTGTGTAACTTTTAAGAAGTGAAACTCATACTTGAACATTGCTATCTTAGAAGTAAAGCCGAGGCCTGGGTTAAATGTAAAAATATACTTAGATGTGTGCACCTTATGAAGGATATTAACAGTTAGTTAGCATTTTTATCTACTATCTTTTTTGCTTCTAAAAGTATTTATCTTTTTGAAGAATGGTAATAGGAAATGAAGCTAGACTTCAAAGACAAATAGCAAATTAATGGAAAAATAATTAAAGGGGATACAAAGGCTTTTAGCTGTAGTTAAAATATGTTACTCAGACCTTTAGTTTGCAAGTAAAATGAGACAAAGGTCTATTAATATTCCTTCCTGTCTGATTATTCTGTTCTCTTCACCTGTGTTGTAAGTTTACATTTTAAAAGTTATATGGGCATTTGATCTTTATATAATGCTACTGATGTTCTTGGTTTTAACGGTAATGAAATAAAGAGTCACTCTTTTTATAAGCTTTGGAACTCACTCTATTGAGAAAATGTGATGTTTTCAATTCCATATGATCATGGTTAATTTCGGGCATTTAGTGGAGTACAGTGCCATGAATGAAAAGTGAACCAACAAGATATGCTTAAAATAAATTATTTAGCACATCTCTTAAGTCAACTTATTCTGTGTTGTATCATTTGATTTATTTTTGGTTTTTAATGAGTGCTAAGAAATGGAAGAAGAGACACAACAAGGTAAAGACTATTGGTTTCAAAGGTTTGTGACTTTTCAGCCAATTGTTGCCCACATTTGAAGCTAAATGGTGGGTTTTGAAAATCTTCAGGCAACAGTGAGTTTGAGTGGAGAAAGGCATATATTTAGTGGAGAACCGAGTGTGAATGGAGTTAGCGTTATAATCCTACAGCGCACACCTTTAAAATAAAGGTTAAGGTTTCATACTTTTAATTGCAAAATAAGTAATGGAGGCGGACCTCTAAAATGTCCTTTTCCTTTCTCCTCTTTATTGTTTCTTCCCTTGTTTCTCTTTTTCCCCAATAAACCATAGCAAAACCTACTTCGCTTTCCTTTGTGTATAGAAGACTGGAAGGAACTGGTGAGCCTAGGTCACTCCTTAAAGGAAGAAGGCTTTCCAGAAGAGTGTTTCAAAAAGGTGTAGTCTACAGACCACCTGCGCAGAATCCGCTAGAGTGCTTCTAATATAAGCATACCTAGGCTCTACCCGACTTCTTCAGAGGTAGACCCTCTGGAAGGGACTAGGAGTCTGCCTTTTCGCTGCCCCCGCCCCCCCCAAGTTCCCTCCGGTAATTCATAGGATAAACATCAAGTTCGAGACTATTTTAAAGTGTAAGGTAGTTTGGTCAAGATCACTTGATAAAATAATTTGAATTGGGGAAAACAAAGGACTACTGTTTAATATCCAAAAGATATTAGAAAACAGCAAATGGTATCTCAGTAGAGGAGTAACACTTTATATTGAACACTTTAACACTTAATAGAAAAATAGGGACATATGCTACTTTTTCTTTTTTTAATCAATACTTGTGAAAGGAGGGAAATATGCTATTTGTGGCCAGGTCTTGTATGTCCATGTGTAAAATTGGAACTAGGGAGCTACTAAATTCTAAGAACTATGAATAGAGTTCCTACTGCTCAAAGATATCTGGCTTTCATAAACATCTTTGTTTTTAAGGCAAGATTCCAGTATTCTTATAGGGAACCTGTCTTGTATATAAGTCAGTGTCTCTGAGATTCCAGAGTTTTGAAACAACTTGAATAGATAACTATTGGTAGTACTGAGAGGAAAAGTAAAGTGAATGAAAAAGTACTTACTGGAACACTGTTAGACATAGTTAAGACTTTAGTAGTTTGAAATAATCTTCGGAGATAAAACAGGCAACTCAGTGTTTAAATAATTTCTTCAGGGCAATAATAGAGATGACCGACACAAAACAATGCATGATTTACATCCAGGTGAATTAATGCAGTTTCAGAAAGAGCTGAGGTGTTGTCATGCTGTAGTCAGGCTTGGTGGCCCCATGTTCCAGAAGCCTTGGGGGGTAGACACTGTTAACAAAGGCAGGTCTCCTTTCAAGCCTAACTTCTAAAGTTACCAGAAACTAGACTCTTTATTGAATAGACGGCAGGAAATGAGTAGTAATTGAATAACTCTTCTAGTTTTCTTTCTTACTATTCTATCAAACTACCAAAACTTGACAGGAAACTCAGTTTCTTTTGTAAATCTTTCCTCTGAGAGAATCTCTTCTTGGGAGATTAGTAATGTATCTGCTTTTGGCCTGTGTAAGGTTGAGGCCTGAGGCAGACTGGAGGATTGCTTTGAAGATGAGGGAAATAAACAGGTTTTCTGGCTTTAGTTAGGAGAAGATAAGAGATAAGGACTACCAAGATTTAAAAGAAGCATAGATGTTTAGGATTGCAAATAAATTTATCTGGTGCTGATTATAGTAGAATTTTACTGATTTTGAATCCATGTTAACACTCAATGTCCCCTCCTTCCAATTCTACCAAGTAACAACACAAACATCTTTGTTTGGTGTGTATCTGTTCTTTTATAGTAGCATCGCTATTCTGGTGGTCCAGGTTTCAGATTTCTTTTCTCCTATTTACTCACCAGGACCTGACTGTTTAGACATCAGCCTACTGCCTCTATTTACTCTTGTCTGGACTAGGGTACTCATTTCCTCTTGCCTAAACCATCTCCTCAATCTCTAAATGGCCTCCCACTTCAATCTCCCTCCTCTTCCACTTCATCTACTGCCAGGGTCATCTTCCTGATTGCTACTTCACTGCACCCAGATCTGCATCCAGGATGAAGTGCACTCTGTAGCTGGGTATTCAGTATCCTCCGGGGTCTGGCCCTAACCTGCTTTTCTGGTTATCTCCTGTTTTTCTGGTCATCTCCTGTTTTTTTGGTTATCTTCCGCTCTGTTCCCTCATTCACTGGAATCACCTGGAAATACTGTTGGAGCTGTCATCCCTAAAATTTTCCTCTTATGTTCTATTCTTTCAATTCCTGTCTTTTCTTCCTGCCCAAACCCATTTTTCCAGCTGTTCAGAGTACAAGGTCAGATTTGGCCATTCCTTTCCTCCTTTGTGCTTCTACCACACTCTCACAAATCCTTATCTTTGGGAAAGGAAGAATCCTGCCAAGGATAATTTTTTGCCTTACATATTGAGATTGGAGAGCTAATCTTTTTTTTTATTTTTTATTTTTTTTTTTGTATATATATCTTAGTTGGCCAATTAATTTGTTTCTATTTATAGTAGAGACGGGGTCTCGCTCTTGCGAGAGCTGGTTTCGAACTCCTGACCTTGAGCAATCCGCCCGCCTCGGCCTCCCAGAGTGCTAGGATTACAGGCGTGAGCCACCGCGCCCGGCCTGGAGAGCTAATCTTAAACTTTGTGCCTGTGGTTCCAGGAATATGTTTGAGCTCAGCAGATACCTATGTGAACATGCCCATTAATAACTGCCATTTATCAAATGCCTGTTATACTTAGTTGTAATACTTAGTGGGTTAAATCCTCACAATGGTCCTATTAAGGAGGTGGTATTTTCCAGTTTTACAGACTGGCACCCAGGCCTGCTTGTATGCAAATCTCACTGTTGTGTATTCATACTTATGGCACTTGGCTTTGTGTTATTGCTATTGAGATACATGCCTGTCTCCTTGATGCCATTGTGTGTTCATGATTCAGGGTCAACCCCTTGCAAATCTTGGTATTTGTAGCATAGCGCTGGCATATAGTAGGCATTCATTCATTAAATGCTTACTGAATAGAACTGCATTCCTTCATGCCTACTAAATGTAAGTTCCTTTAGGAAAAGAATGATATATTTTTGTATTTCCATGTGTTTTTTAATACGTAGTATGCATTTGGTAAATAGTAATAGTTCTTGAGTGAATGGCTGGTGCTAGGGTCAGAAGAGACTCACTTAAGTGAAGGATTTAGCAATAGGATGTGTGATTTATTGAAGATAGGCTGACTCTATCAGGGACCAAGATCTAAGTTGTTCAGAAGTGATTCTAGGCAGCATATTATAAAGCAGTTCAGAATTTTAAAAGCTATATGATAGCAACATTGTCTGCTTTCAGCATTTTATGCAAGTAGGTTGGAAAGAAAGTCACATCATGTCTAGTTAGCTACTATTTATTAAGTATTGTTGACATTGAGCTAGGCACTATTTTTGTTATCTTTACCACAAGTCTATAGGGCAGTGTACATATTTAAAAATACATGTCAATAAATGTTTATA